GAATATCTTCGCCCCGACAAGCTTCTGTTGGCCTGTTTGTCCCTCTCGTCGCAAAACCATCCCAGACCGACGCTATAGTCGAATTCTTCAATGCCGGCTACAACCTAGTCCCATCCGAGCCTCTCACCAGAGAATGGTATGCTGTCAAATTTGAAGATAGCAACCCACCCTCCTACGCTCTATTCGACACATTTGCCGCTGAACAAGGACGTCAAGCCCATCTTTCTGGGCAGATTGCTAAAGCGTTGTTGGAAAACGCTTCTACGCTGTTAGACGCGAGCCCGGAGGTTGGACAAGTCGATGTTTTGGTTAGCCTGGTGAAACCTGTTAAGGAGGCTGGCTCGACCGCCGGAGTGACGAAAGGGTTAAGAGTATTTTTCACCGCGAAACCCGATAAGGTCGATGATGTTCGAAACTTCCTGAAGGTGAGTGCAGCCATGAATTTGTGGTAGACACTCTTCGCTGACACACCTTTTCGTTTCCAGGGCGCTATCCCACTTGTAGAAGCTGAGCCTGGCACGACTTATTGGTATGCTGTGGAGTTCCCTGGGACCAACAAATTCGGTGTCATCGACTTTTTTCCTGATGATACCGGAAGAGGGGCACATGTTGCTGGAAAAGTCGCAGCGGCTTTATTTGGATCTGCAGAAGAGTTGTTGACGGGAGCGCCAGAACTTATCAAGCTGGAAGTCATTGCTGCGAAAGTTCAGTGATTTCAACACTATCTGGAGCATGAATACCAAAGTAAATACATAGAGATGTAGCTGAATATCATCATGTCCAGATGTGAGCTGAGATAGACTGTGAGAGCCACGAGAGTTTTTCAGTTGGGCGGTGGACTTCGCCAAAAGAAACTAAGTAGATGATGTAATCTTTTCCCACAGCCAAAAGCCATAGACGCTGCACGTGTAGCAACACTTGGAACGAAAGAATTTTCAAAGCTTTGAATTTGAGCTGCCGAACACTTCGTATACGCAAACTAACAGCACCATATCGTCGCTACTCTACTGCAAAATGTCTACCACCACAATGCACTTTGGCCCAGAATGGATGCGCACAAAGCCTCACCCAGCATCGAGGATCCAACCTCCTCCATCTCCTCCTCCTACAGACGTCTTGGTCCCTGCCGCGTCTACTTATTCTTCTCTTCTTACCTCTACTGCTCTGGCTCCTATGGTCACCAAAGACGAGACTCATCCATTACGCTACACCAAGGAAGAAATGCTTCGAATTTATCGTGAAGGCGGTGGTCAGGGTGGACTCGGTCTGGAAGTCGAAAGATGGGAAGGTGTAGTGAGAGAAACTGTGACAGATCCAATTGGGATCAAGGAAATGAGTGAAGCAGAGAAGAAGGTGCTCGACACTACACTTTTCTTTTCTTGTCCTATTTCGACTCATGGAAGTTCCAGCTTTTTGCCACACCACTCAATTCAGATCTCCGGCGTCGACAATCAACTGATTATCTACATCTCAATACTCAAAACCTCGAGAGGCCTCGCTTGAACCATGCGAACACAGCTGCATCGAGCGGAAGTCCTCTCAGAGAACGCTTTGGGACGCGCAGAAGAGACAGTACTGGTCAGTCTTCCGACCTTTTTCCTGAAGTTCTTCCACTGAGTATTCTCTCAAGATCAACCGCCCCTGCTTCCAAGGAAACTGTCCTTGTCCAACCAATCACCTAATATTAACTCGCGAGAATCCGGCATGCCTTCGCCTCGCAATCGTCTGGGACATACTCCTGGTTTTGATGGGATATTGAACGGAGGTGAATCTTGGGTTGCTCGCCGGCGTGCTTCGGAAGGTCTCGTCGCCAAGGCCCCGGCTAATCCCGCCCGAGATCCAGGCGAGGACTCTAAAGAGCTTGAAATACGGGAAGAGGACGAAGAAAATATAATGACCTCCAAACCCAGACCAGATCCTCCGCTTGGTTCAAACGACAAATCACAACTTCTTGGTGGTATTACCATGCAGAAACCTGACAAGCCTGAGTCTGGTGCTACTCTTGACGCTCCGGGAATACAGAGCATCGCCAATTCTCCCGCTAGCACTTCTGCTTCCATCGGATTGCCTCCTGGTATCGTTGACCCGTCCACCGTGGAATGGTCATATCTAGATCCACAAGGTCAAGTCCAAGGTAATCCGTCGTACCTTCTTCGTCGTCTCCCTCTGACACATGTGCTTCAGGTCCGTTTCAGGCGACTGTCATGCAGAAATGGTGCGACGGTGGTTTCTTCTCCGACGATCTGCTCATGAAAAGAACCTATGTTGATAACGAGTGGATACCTATGCGAGACTTGAAGCGGCGTGTTGGCAGTGTCGACAAAGTGTTCCTCACGCCGATTCCGTTATATGGACCTCCTGGTTTGATTCGTCGAACCGATTCCCCCTTTTCTACCCCAAATGAAGGAGTCTTTCAGAATGGACCTTTCCAACCTTCCCCTGTACGCTCACTCCGCGCTACGACATATGATTCTATCAACTCCAACTATTCTGATTCCCCTACTTCATCCTTTGGCGTCGCAGGGAGATTTGTTGATGCCTCTCCCGACCCTGCGTCGTTTGGAGGAGGACGGGGTGTATCCCAGTTTGGTCTCGCAGGAGAGATGGGCTCTCGGTATAACGGTTATCCTTTGAATGCTGGCGAAGCTTCTCCTGCTCACTCGGGGAGATCTGGGTTTGGATTGCCGTCTAATGACTATCGTACCCCCGGTTTTAACAACGTTACACCAGGACGAGCCAACTCTCTTGATGTGAATGCGGGTTTTGGTTCGTCGGGCACTGCCTGGGCAGGTTTCGATGGCATGACAAATGGACGGGGAAACTCCACCGACTCATCATTGTACCAGTCTGGATATTCAAACGCGGACATCTCATCTACCTTTGGCAACAACAACGGTTTTCAAATTACAGGATTTCCACCCCAGAGTCATCCTTCTATGAAGGACTTGGCTTTTGAGCATTACCCTCCTTCGCCATCCACACAATTCACTCACTCCTCCGTTCTTCAAACCAATGTACCCGATGTATTCGATCAGAGTCAACCACAGTTACGTCCTAATCAACCACCTATCAATAACACCACTGCGTCGCCTTGGGGCTCTGTCGATTCTCAATTCAACAAACACAACGTTCCGTTCGATGCCACACCCTCGAAACCGTCCACGGTGCACAACCAATCGCCTTGGGGTACAGGTCAAGTGCCTGTCTCTCGATCAAGTTCGCAAACGAATGACATCTCTCCCTGGCTCACGGCTACAAAAACCAACAAGGAACCTTGGAAAGAAGAGCCCTCTATCATAACCGACGTTTCCTCCAGTGACCTTGCGCAGTTCACTCAACAGGATGAAAAGCTCGAAGACGCCACGAAGACGAAAGAAGCTGTAGTTGATGTTATCCCCGAAACCAAACCCGTTCTCGCAGCAGAAGCACCTGCTGCTGTTGCAGCTGCAGATCCGTCCGTTTCTCCTGTTGTCCCTCCGCCTACAAAACCCCAAACAAAAACATCTCGACGAACTACACAGACCGCTCCTGCTCAAAATGCACCACCTGAACCTGCACCTGTAGTTCCGGAGGTTGCTGAAACCCAGCCTGTCGCCGCAGCCCCAACCACACCGACCGTGGTACCCAAGGCCTGGGCAAAAGACGAAGAGTCCAAGAAGGCAGCGACAAGTCTCCGCAAGATCCAAGACGCCGAGGCGAAAAAGGCCGAAGCCAGGAAAGTCGCTGACAGGGAGAAAGAACGAGCTACGCGTGCTGCTGCTCTGACTGTATCTGCTGCTTCACCTGCGGAAGATGTTCAGCCTTTTACGACCTCCTGGGGTCTGCCAACCTCGAAAGCTGGTAAAGGTTCCGCAGCTGCTACGCCGAAAGAGAGTGCGCCTCCTACGCCTGCAACTGCGATTCCTGTGACTCCACCTGTATGGTCGACTACTGCTGCTAGGCCTGCTGATACGAAGAAGACGATGAAGGAGATTCAGGAAGAGGAGGAGAGGAGGAAGAAGACGCCTGTGAAGGAAACTGTCGCTAATATAGCTGGTCGAAGGGTGTATGCCGAGAGTGCTTCCAAGGTCAGTGACTTTTTTCTTTGGACAAACGCAACGAAGGTGCTTAAGTCAATGCCGCTTTCAGCCTTCACCGGCACCCACGTCCAGTGGTAATGCTTGGACAACCGTTGGTGCCAGTGGGAAACAGACTCCTGCGGTAGTTACACCGACTCGTCCTCCCGCTACGCCATCTGCTGCTGCGACTACTAGCTCTACGTCTGTCGCACGAGCAAACGGCGCATCAGCTCGTCCTGCTCCAACTCCTGCAACCAAGGGCGCTTTGAACAATGCCAAGGTGGACGACTTCCCTATAGCACCGTCTGCTGAGTTCTTGAAGTGGCTTGCTGAATCACTCAAGGGTTTGAACAATTCTGTCAACGGTGAGTCTTCCTGCTGTATGGGTACTGGGAATCTTTAGCTGATGAGTTTGATTCACAGCCGAGGAAATCATGTCTATGCTCCTTTCATTCCCTATCGATCCGGATGCATCGACATCAGAAATCATATCTGATCTTATATATGCCAACACCACGACCCTCGACGGACGAAGGTTTGCAGCAGATTTCCTGAGCAGGAGAAAAGCAGACGCTGTGGCGCGGGCCAAGGCAGGACCTGGAGCGGCGGCGGCCAAGCCAGTATCAATTGCAGATGTGGTCAAGGCTCAGCCCAAACCTCAGGCGCAATCAGAGTGGGGTGGATTCAAGGTGGTGAATAAGAAGAAGAAGGGTGGTAGGGCATGAGTTGGGATGGAATGTGGAATGTTGATCTCAGTTATTGGATTTAAACATTGTGAAGACGAACAACTTGAAGTACCTAGTAGTAGACTTGGGTACAGTGTACATAGGTACATTATGATCATGGTCTGTATCAAAATATGATTGAAAACGCTCAGACTTCGGTGTCGCGTTGTGAATAACTTAACTACAGTACCTAAAAAAGTATACACCTCAAAAGAAATCCGACCTGCCTGGTTCGAACAGGCGACCCCAAGATATACGATAAGATATCCAATTACAGTCTTGTGCTCTTCCAACTGAGCTAAGGTCGGTTATACAGCAGAACCTATGTGATGGTTATGACTTGTTTTGCTTACGTAGGGCAGTACGCGTAAGTGGCGGGAAAGTTCTCGAAATATTCTGCTCCCAAAAATGGTAAGCGCCAGAAAGTTCTCCTTGTGTCTGGAAAGTTACCGACGCGCGTCGTATACGCGCGTATCTTGTCTCATTATTCATCTATTGTTCCGCTCAAGTATAAAAGGTATGAGCTCCCCCCTTCCTATCTTCATCAATATCTTTCAATCTCATCCACTGACTATCATGTTCCGCTATCAGCCTACATATTTCTCATCTCTGCCCTCTGACCTGGGCTACTCGCGACCTCAATACTCTCGTCCAAGGTATCTCAGTCCTTTCACTGAGCAGCTCAGGGCTGCCGAGGCTCAGCGAGAGGAAGAAGAACTTCTTCGTCGTCTGGAGGAAATTCAGCTCCAGAAACAACAACAAGAGCGTCTTCGTCGTCGTTTCCCCTATGATAATTATGCGCCTTATCATTCTAGTTATTTCGAGGACGATGAGCTCGAACGCTCTGCTTTCCGTCGTCGACAACAAGAGCTAGAGCTCGACTACCTTCGTCGCAAACAAGAAGAAGAGGCTCGAATCCTCGCTCTAAAGAGGGCCGAAGAGGAACTAAAACTTCAGCAGCTTGCTAAACTTCGTGAAGAAGAGGAAGCCCGCGTAGCTGCTCTTCGACGTGCAGCTGAGCAAGTGAATGCTGCTCGACCAAGTCGATCGAGGAAGGTATGCAACCTCATATCCTCTTATCCTCTTCGCAGTGACTTACTAAATCTCCAGGATCATTCTTGCTGTGATAACTCAGATGAGCTTTGCCAATTATTTGGCCCTCAATGTCAGCAACAGGTAGGTCGACAGAACGTCAGTGAATTTCCGGTTATGCTCAACGCTCTTCTGCAGAAGAGGCCCAGTAATGTCCAGTCTGAACAACCAGCTTTTGAGCGGCTGGTGTCGGACTTGGTTCAACAATTGCACTATCCGCAACGAGAACGCGAGCAGACTCCTAAACCAGTCCAGGAGGTGCCTAAGAGGAAGACGCTCTCTCCCTCGCCCTCGCCCGCACCTCGCGAATCTGTCGCTTCGCCTCAAACTTTGGAGGAAGTCCTTCGTCTTATGTTCGATCCCCAACCTCATCATACCTCCCACCCTGTATCCGAGAAGGCATCTACTACCTCTAAACCAGTGCCTCAGGTTTGTCGCTCTCTTCCAGTCAGCCAAAACACGTTACTCAATAACATCATGTTGCAGGAGAAGCCCAAATCCGAAGAGACCGTAGCGTCTCGTCCTGTCTCCAAGTCTTCCGAGTTTCATCCGGTCTCTCCTTTGTCGCTGAAGGAACAACTCGAAGCTCGTCTGAACAATGACCGTTCCAACGAGATCAAAGATACGATTCAAGCTATCCTCACTTCTCTCTCCTCCAACCCTTCTGCATCATCGGCATCACCAGCTCCTGCTGTCGTCTCCGAGGCCTCTACTACCAAGAGCAACAAAGGCAAAGAGAAGGCCCCCGAATCTCAGCCAACTTCCACACCCACTTCCGGTAACGCCCACAAAGCCCTCGAAAACGTTCGAGCCATTGAAGCTTCCCTTATCGCTCTCCAAGACGACTTTGAATTCCCCTCCGACGTCGACTTCTCCCCGCCCCTTCACGATCATCATCCCCCGTCCGCGATGACGTCTCCTTCGTCTCCGAAACCGATACCCCGACGCTTCGAAAACTCGCTTACACCGCTCGTAACCACCCCATTCGATCATACGAGCAGGCCCTTTCGAGGCTGCTTGCACGGCTTGATGAGATTGAGAGCCATGGGAATGCGGAGGTGAGGAACAGTCGAAAGGCGGTTGTGGCTCGTGTGGAGGGGGCGTTGGAGGAGTTGGAGCAAAAGGTAGAGGCTAGGTGGAATAAGTGGAGTAAGAGCCATCGGGCAGATAGGGAGGAAGAAGTCGTGGAGGAGTCTGAGAAGAAGGAAGAGATATCCAAAGTGTCGTCATCGCCAGAAGGACAGGTTCAAGTTGAAAAATCACCTCAGGATGGTGCGACTGCTACTGTACAGACTGAAGTCTCGCCGGCCACTGAGAGTGTGTCCGTTGTCGCTATTGAACCAGCTTCTGTCCCTCCTTCCTCTGAACGTCTTTCATACGCGGAGGTCGTCAAACAGCCCGACGAAGAGCCTGCTTCGCTCCCCGAATCATCTTCTACCTCCGAGTCCAACATTTCCTCTTCCACTATCGACGTTTCTGAAAGCCTAGAATTTGTTCCGGATGCTTCTGTCCCTCAAGATGAAGAGGAACCTGTAGCAGTCGACACTGAATCATCTGCCATCGAATCATCATCGTTGGCCACTGAAGATGTCGAAGAACCAACCTCTGATTCCCTACCCGATGATTCAGAAGCACTCCCGTCGTCTCCATCCCAGCCTCAAGCTTTTGAGACTACTTATCCGCCTGTCAGCTCTGACTCTGCGTCATCCGTCGAGACAGTCCGTCCTTCAGGAATACCATCGACTCCGGAAGACAAGCCATCTTCTGACGATCACAATGGACTCACGTCAACAGCGGGCGATGATGAATCCGAGACTGAGGTCGTCGTGGATACGTTCTTACTACCTCAAGACACTGTCGCTGACGATCAACAACACCTCAAGAAGTCTGAACGAGACTCAGAGGATGTTGGTAGTGACTGGTCGGAGGTCGATGCGTAGGGTCATCTCTCTGTGAAATACGAATCTCTTTTCTGAATAATGATAGTGTACAGTATCTAATCATATCTTGGACCATATTATTTTCATTCGTACTTGTATTCTTTTCGCAGTCAAGCAACTCACAATGTACTACCACCAACATAAGTAATAGAAATCAAATTTTGAAGTTGCAACTTTTTTGTGCTTATTACTGTAACGACACTAAGCCATATGTCGTCGCCATTCATTCAGACTCGGATTGGATGGCAGGTCGAACTGAAACTTTGAGAGTACTACTGAGAAGAACATTGTGCCAATTGATTACGAGTCGGAATTAAATGAGGAATCGTCTTGAAGACTTGACTCTTGGCGGCTTCCTGAATCCTAAGTACCTACGGTCTCCTACGGTTCAAATTTCAGATGAAATTGTTCGACGATGTCGACGGCGAACTTCGAAGGTGGCAAGGACCGGTGACGGAATGAGTTAAGCGCTCAAGCGGCTCTGGAGTCTGAGCGCTTGAGCGCTTATGCACATGGACCCCCCGCATACTTATACTCGACGCTTTGCAGGAGAAGCACAAGACTGAGTCTTGAATGAGTCCTCTAATATTTCCTTCTCACCAAAAGATCAAGCAACAACACTGAACACGACTTCAAATTCTCCTCCGATGTTGATGTCTCCCCTGTCCCTTCAACGTTGACATCCCCCGCCACCGCTCGTAACTACCCCGTTCGATCCCACGTGCAGGCTCTTTCGGCTTGATGAGATCGAAGGCCATGGAAATGCAGAGGTGCGGATGAGTCGAAAGGTAGTCGCGGCTTGTGTAGAAGGGGCGTTGGAGCAGTTGGAGCAGAAGGTCGAGGCTAGGTGAATAAGACACATTGGGATCCAGGTGGTGAGGAGTCTTGTCCCGGGAAGAAGGACAGGTCGACGTCGAGGAAGGTCCAACTGTCACCGTACAAGCCGATATTTCACCAGCGACTGAAAGTATCTGTGATGAGCTCCGATGTCGTTGTTAACCAGCTTCTGCTCGGAGCTCCTTCCTCTGAACATCCTTCATACGCGGAGGCCTTCAAACATCCCGCCGAAATTCCTGCCACAACCCCTGAGCCATTTCCCACCTCCAAGTCTATCGTTTCCCTCTCCCACCTTTTTTATATGCCTACCGCCATCTTAGGATGGCTCTACATGGAAAGTCAAGAGGAACTTGGAGTCTCCGGTACCGAATCATCCGTGCGATCGCTCAAAAGTCGTCGACAACTCCAACGGAGGATGTTTCAGAGTCCGGTCGGACACGCTTTTAGGGCACCAGACTCGTCTTACAAGACAAGGTATACACCGTGGCACGGTGTTGTGCTCGCGAAGCTTAATCCCAGTTCGAGTATGTTAGAGCTTAATCCTAGTTCACTGTTCGATACGATGGAGCTGTCGTAAGTTAGGGACAGAAGAGGCAGAGATATGATTGGTGAGAGACAGGAAGAAAGTGCTTGTAAACGTCAAACTTTCGACAGCGTTGGCACCTTTTCTTTTTCTGACAGCAAGAGCAGCAGCAGGAGTCTGCAGTATCATCTAGTGAGTCCGGGAACTTAGATGTTGACAGCAAGAACAACGGTTAGGTTGTGATTGGCACGCATGGTATATGCTGGAGTCAGGCAAGAAGGAATGTCTAAGATAGCAGCGACGACACAAAGAGCATATTTTGCATGCAGGTAAGCGAATGGTGAGACGAGCAGAAGAAGGCCGAGGTGGAATCCGAATGGATAAAGGACCACAATGACTTGAAGGACCGGAACGAGAGTTTGAATTTGCGCAAGTAGGGCAGCATATATTGAAGGAGGAAGTTTGGGGATTGACCTCGTAGGTATGGAAGATGATACCACAGCTGAAGCACCGATATGAAGCACGGAAAGCAGTCGAACGAATAGCAGGCATATTAGCAGAAGAAAGAGCAGGACAAAACTCACTTGACGCGTCGCATCCCAAACATGTCCGAAGCCAGGAAGCTCAATTCTTAAGATAATCACACCGTTAAAAAACAGATGAAACAGTTTCTTCGTTCAATTTGAGTATATTTTGAGGAAGACTAAGAGAAAGATGAAAGTTTGGAAGAGAAAACACGCATTTACGTCAAAAAGAGCGAAAGTTATCGGTGTCACGCAAACTACAAACAAGTACAAACTCAGACCACACTCTACGCGGTCCACATGAACCCAGTTGCTTCGCTTCGCTCGCAATAAGCTTGCATGTTCCACAATGGTTGAAACATGTCACAGTGATACAGCCTCTCGCTTGGGTT